ACATCAATTTTGCTATCAAAATGGAGTTAAGGCATACAGCATCATCTAGTAATCACAGCACTCAATAAGCACTTGCCTGTTGTAAGTTTTGTTTTCCGGTAGACCTTCTGCATGACACCATTTTCCTGCAGATTTTGGGTGTGTCACATCAAGCTCTTCAAATGGTTTTGAGTCTTTGCGTAGAAAATGAAGAAGAGGAACAGCAAGGATGATGTCTGGACAAGAATAATAATTATGCTTGTCCTTGGCAGCTTTCATTAGGTGGAGGATAGACTTTACAAGATCACTAAGATGGAGATAACAAATGTATCAGTAAATACAGCAGTAAAGCCACCTTGGCAAGTATGGATGGCAACTGTGGTGAGAATGCTAGCCTGTCACCAAGGTGACCCGATTTCGATTCCAGGACTCTGTGTTGTATGTGAGTAGAGTTGCTTGTTGTTTCTCTTCTGCTGTGCTTCAGGTTTTTTTCCAGGTTTTTCTGGTTATCCTTCCTCTACAAAAACTTACACCTAAATTTAAATTTAAATTTAAATTTAGTCAGAATCCCTAGAATGCCACTGTTAAATCCCTTCTTGTTTATTCATAGAAGTTACAGAAACTCAACCTACCTCCACATCTCTTCAGGGAAGTGCTTGTCAATCTCGTCAAAGTCGCACCCACCACTACCATTACCTTTTATCACGAGGCAATGTAAGATATCTTTGAGCTGGAGATATGTAAGATCCATCTTGTAATGGGCAATGAGATGTGTAATTGCCAGGCTTGATACAAGACAGTCTATACGAACTGGTGAACTCTCAAGATCCTTATTTCTTATCTTGGCATTATTTTCCAATTTAGGTTTTAAGAAGTCTTTTAGGATCTGAAAACAAATTCATTTTTTAAACAGATGCATGACTTTTCAAATCTAATGCACATTGTAAATATTACCTCACCGAAGTCTAAACCATCAAATGACTTTTTTATTGGATGATTACCAAGACAAATGGAAACATTTTTTAAACATCTTGATATTGCCTGTGTCTTTTCGATGGCCTCCTTTGCTGACATCTGCTCATATTCCCCATGCACAACAAAACCTTTCCACTTTGGAAGAAATGTCTCAGCTGCATGAAGTCTGTTCTTGAAGAACTGTTCACGCTTATGCCAAGTACTTGTTATCCAAGTTAAAGGATTCCATCTATTGGTTTGTTGAGATTTTTTGTAAATTACTCCATCATACTGATGATAAATGGCTGGGGAATATAAATTATTATAATTTGATCAATTATACAAAGTTCTCGACAAGTAGATGCAAAAGTTAACTTAGAAATGCTTCCAAAGTAAAATATTCTAAGGCCACCCAAACTGAATATTTTTACCAATAATTGGCCTATCATGGAAAATCTGTTCCTAAATAACAAAATCAATACAAATCTGACAGACAATTAAAACTAAATTGAGCCTTACACATGAAAAGATCAAATGTATTTCATTCCTTTTTGATGTTTTATAATTACCATTTTTTGTTTTATACTTTTCCATTAGGAACAAATCACGATCTACAATGGTGTCAGGATACTCATCACGGAATTCAGAGTATTCCCAGTAAAGTTTCTGTTTGTCATCTTTAGTATATACTATATACTTATAAGGAAAAGATTTGAGCAGGAAGCTGACAGGCACTTGCATCTCCCCAACGATTGATACAAACTTCTCTTTAGTTTGGCTAGTGAGAGAAAATAATTTTGTAGTTAGTCATCTGTACATGTGGCCTTACTTATAATACCTTAGCATGTACTGCCTTCTTAATATACACCTACAAGTAATGGACTACACTCATACTTACCACCTCTCATGCTCGTAAGAGCCTTCGATTATATACAGAGAAAGGACACTAGAGTAGTATAGGGAATGGGGGTTCCAGCGCAATCTCAACACGGG